CGGGGACCACCCTGGGGACTCCCAAGCAGCAGCAGGGGGGGTGCAGCAGCACGGTGGGGCAGCAGCAGGGTTGGGGTTGCTCTGGTTTATCTCCCCCATTGGCGTAAGCACAGCCTTGAGCGCGCTGGAGCGAAGGCAGGGATGCAGCAGCCAAGGCTGTGGCCGTGAACGCGTCCCAGCCGTCCCCCGAGCCCCGGCGCTGGGCTGGAGTCAGGCTGGGAGGAGGTGAAACGGATGCTGCCAGGATCCAGCTCCTCACAGCAGGGACTCGAGCGGCCGCAAGGTCAAGTAGATGGGTTTGTCCGGGATCAGGATGAGGTCGAACTTGGTCCCGACTTCCACTGCTCGCATGGTCTCGATCTTGAAGTTCTCCAGGAGCTGGGATGGGGGAGAACAGAGCGGAGGGAGGAGCAAAGCGCTGCCGGTACCGACCCCCAGGTGCCTCCTCCGCTGCGGCCGTGTCCCAGCAGCGGGATGCTCACCTGCATGAGGAAGATCTGCATCTCCAGCTCCGCGATCCGGCGGCCCAGGCACTGCCGGGGGCCGAAACCAAAGCCCAGCCCCTTGAAGTGCTTGGGGTCAGCCCCCAGCCAGCGCTGCGGGATGAACTGCTCCGGCTTCGGGAACACCTCGGGGTCCCGGCCCATGGCGTAGAGACCGACCTGCACCAGCGTCTGCTCGGAGGCAGCATCAGCCCTGTGGGTCTGGGCTCCCTATGGGGCTTCCCTGGTGCTTGGTGTGCAGGGATCCATCCCCAGTGGATGTCACCCATCCATGCCCCGGGTCCCTCCTCCACCCTCCCGGAGCCTCATGCGGAGCGGGTCGGGGTGAGGAGGGACCCGGTGCTCACCTTGGGAGGGATGCGGTAGTCCTGGAGGATGACCTCCTGCGTGGTGTAGCGCTGCAGGGTCACCGCCACGGGGTGCAGCCTGGGTGCGGGGACAGGTCCCGTTCACCTCGCTTTGGGTACACCCCCCCCTGCCCATGTCCCGCCCTGCTCCACAGCACCCAGCAGCGCAGGAGGGACGGGGCTGGGGTGTTTGCTGCCGTCCCCCTCACCTGAGCGTCTCCTTGACGGCCGCTTTGAGCAGCCGGATGCTCTTGAGCATCTTCACCCTGTCCCCCGCCGCCTCCCGCTTGGCAGCCAGGACCTCTGCCCGCAGCTGCTCCTGCACCGCCGGGGCCCGCGCCAGCTCGAACATGGCCCATTGCAGCGTCATGGAGGTCTGGAGCGGGGCAGGGAGCGAGCTCAGCACCGGCCGGGCCCCGCTGCCTGCCCGGGCTCCCTGCACGCCCCTCACCGTGTCCACGCCGCCCGCCATCATCTCGGTGACGCTGGCCTTGATGTCGTCCAGGGGCAGCTTGTCCTGCAGGATGAGGCTGCAGAGGATGCCCATGTACTCCGTGGTGCTCTTGCGCTGCAGGCGCAGGTCCCGGTACACGTTGTGAATGCATTTGTCCGCTGAGGAGAGACACGGACGTGGCCTTCCTCCCCCAGGGCCATGGTGGAGGAGGAAGGCACCACTGCCCCATGACGGTGGCTTTTCCATGGTCCCTGCTGCAGGACGGACCAGTGGCTGGGTGGGCACAGAGGGTGATGGGTGCGGGTGCACAGGGTGCCAAAAGCTCTGTGAGGCCACAGGCGTCTCTGGGAGAGATGCTACCCTCAATGTGATGCCCTTCCATCACTCCTGGATGATTCCACATCCCACAGGCTCCAGATGTGGAAAGCCTTCCTGGGCTTGGCAGCCCTGTGCTGGGCGGTTAGACCCAGGAGAAGGACCCGTGCTGGTGAGATGATGCTGCCCTATGGAGCCGAGCCCTCAGCGGGTCTTTGGCTGACAGAGGAGGAGCACTCACCCTGGGAGAAGATGGCATCCCAGGCCCACACGTGGTCCCTCCACGTCTTGGCGTTGAGGTGGCGCAGGAGGGCGGGCGGCAGGTAGAGCATGGGGGATGTGGTGTGGAACATGAGGGCCACGGCGTCGATGAAGCGCTGCGCCTCGGGGTCCACGAAGTCCTGCAGCAGCCCCAGGCGCTCCCCGTACAGCACATGGCACACGGCTGCAAGCACAGCACCTCTGAGGGGACACATCCCCGTCCCCTCCACCCTCCCAGGGGCTCCATCCCTGGCAGTGGTCAAGGCCAGGTTGGACACAGCCTTGGGTGCCACGGTTTAGTGTGAGGTGTCCGTGCCCATGGCAGGGGGGTTGGAACTGGGTGATCTTAAGGTCCTTTCCAACCCAAACCATTCTGTGATTCTATGGGGACCTCCTGCTCGCTCTGAGCATCACGGGGCCATAAAGGCATCCCTTGGTGGGCAGGGCTGGCTGCTGATTGGTGACCAGCAAGTGATAAAGCAGTGCTTTAGCATCAGTGTTGAGTTGTTCTCTACTTGTCCGCAGAGGACACCCCTCCAGACCCCGCAGCAAAACCTTGTTTCACCTCTGAGGATGAAGGCGGAGGAGACGTGGCGCCTTGCCCACCTCCTGCTAAAGGGAATTTCAGGGCACGGGGGGGATGCCTTGCCGCTGACACTCACACTCCAGGGCGAAGCGGAAGAGCTCATGGGTAAAGTCTGCCGTCCAGTATTCCCGGCCGCTCTTCCCAACCTGCGCTCGTGCCCGCCGGATGAAGTCGTCTCCCACCTGGCTCAGCAGAGGCACGAACCCCTCCACCACCTGCGGCGACAGCACCTCCTTGTTGAGCATCAGCCGGTCCGAGCGCCAGGCTTCCCCTGTCCTGCGGGATGCCAAAGCGGGGGTCAGAGGTGCCCCCACCACCATCACCATGGGCAAACATCCCCGTTGCCCTCCTGGTGCTGCCGGTGCTCCCACCCCCCGTGCGCTGGGGGTCCCCACTCACTTGAGGAGCACGCCATAGGGCTTGTTGCGGTAGTCGCGGTAAGCCACCCATGGGGGCACGCTGAAGCGCTCCGGCAGCGTCCCCTCCGCCTGGAAGAGGGTGGCAGCATCCCGGGGGGTGATGATGTTCACGCTCTCATAGATACCCAGCTTCTCCCTGCCGGGGTGAGGAGCGGGGGGTCAGCCCCATGCATTGACCCTCATCTATGACCCCCCCCTCCCCAGCTCTTCACTGCCCCGGATCAACCACCTTCACCCAGCACCCCCAAATCAAGCACTCTCCTCCTCACATCCGATCAAATCCCACCTGCAGGTCACATCCCAGGGGCTGCAAGGACTCAGCACCAGGAGCAGGCACTCCCAGGGCTCAGGCAGGCAAAGCAGGGGGGTGTAGGACCCAGACCCCCATCCTTCCTGGGAATATCAGCTCCAGACCCCATGGAAATCAAGGGAAGGTGCAGAATCCCTCCTCCCAACATCCCATACCTGCAAGGCGCGGGTCCCCCCTCTCCCCCTTCACAGCATCGAGCCCGGCCAGCGCACAGCAAGCCAGGATGCTCCCTCCAGCAGCTCAACCTCCCTCTCGCCTGGAGCAGGGCTGGGAGCAGCAGCAGCAGCAGCATCCCGGCTGGAAAGGCAGCCGGCGCCGGGAGCAGGGCCGGATGCCGGGGTGAGGCAGGCGCTGCCTCACCTGTAAATGGGCCCGAACTGCTGGAACTTGCGAGCCATGATGTGGTGCAGGTTGTGCAAGCCGCCCTCCTGCCAGAAGCGGTAGAGGTTGAGCCAGCCGGCCCTCCAGTCCCCGGGCAGCTGGTTGAAGGGGCGAGGGGTGGGCACGGCGGGGGTGGCGGCCCCCCCAGCCCAGCGGGACAGGGCCGGGGCCCATCCCCGCAGGGTGCCGGGCTTGGGTGCAGCGCGGACGAGCATGGGAGCGGCGCGGGACGGAGCGGGGCTGCTCTGCGCTTATCTCCTGCCTGGCCTCACTCCAGGATTGATGCTCTCGCCCGCCTCCCGCCGCGTCCCGGCCCAGGGACGGGGACGGGCTCAGGGCGTTTCGCCCCGGCAAGGAGGCAGATACAGGGCAGAGGCAGCCAAAGGGAATTGGAGAGCATCATCCCCCCCTCCCCAACCCCAGCCTTGCCATGCCCAGGTCTTGAGTGGCGTGGGGTGACAAGGGGGGGCCGTGCTACCGCTGAAAGGAAACCCCAGCCTGCAAGGGGAGAGCTGTTTTGTCTGCAGAGTAAATGACACCGGTGGTCTGGGGGACAAAAGGCAGAATAAAGCACGGGCAGGACAGGTCACAGACTTGGGGACCGCCTGGACACTGCTGAGGGGTCTCACCTCTGCCCTCCCTGCAACACGGGGTGCAGGGGGAGGCAGGTCCCCCCTTTCTGGGCTCTCCTGCCCCAGAGCATCAGCAGGCACCCCAAACACTCCCACTCCTGCCAGGAGGAAATAGCTTTTTGGGGTATTTTGGCCTGGGCCGAGCTTGGTGGCAGACAAGGTCCCTTGTTCCCAGTCCCAGTAACGCTCACTGGCAACCAGCTAGGAAGTGGGAGAGATCATGAGGCCGAGGAGAGAACTGGGGCATTTCTGGGCCTTTGGGGTGTCCCTGGGGTCTTTGTGGTGCCCTGGAGGGTATGGGAGAATCCCAGGCAGGTCCCCGGACATCCCCTGGGGTGCCCATGGGACATCATCCCACGGCCTTTCGCTTTCCCCAGGAGCCGGGAAGAGGAAAGAGGCAGCCGCGGGGGATGCTGCACCGGGGATGCTGCACCGGGGATGCTGCACCGGGGATGCTGAGCCGGGCTGCGCGGTGGCTGCGATACCAGCGGCGGCCACCGGGGGGCGCGTCTGCCCCGTCTGCTGCCGCCGGGCCGGCAGCGACACCGGCTCTGTCCCCCCTGCCCGTGTCCCTGACCCCTGCCAGGCACCGGCTCTGTCCCCTCCTGTCCCAGGTGCCATTGTCAGTGTGAAGACACCCGCCCGGGTGAGCACCCACCAGCTCACTGTGAGCAGCCCCGCACACACATGGTGGCACAGTCACCCCCCCTTGTCCTTCACCCCTGCACCATCCCTATCCTGGTGACTCCTTTCTGTCCACAGGAATGGGGTCAGTCCAATTGGGCCACCTATTGTGCTCCCATAAACACAGACACGGGTTTAATGGTCACGGAGGGACACACGGGCCCAGGGCTGAGCCGTGTGGCCCCATTAGCCACCACCCGCAGCCCCGAGAGGTGACAATTACCCAGTGTAACCCCCGCACCCCCTCTTTCCACCACCTCCCCAAGCATCTGGAGCCAGCTCATGGGCTCCATCACACCCTGTGGTGGGGCTCTGCTCTCCCTCTGAGGCCTCCAAACATGGGGGCACCCGCTTCAGCAGTGTTTCCACCCTCAGCACAACGGAAGCGAGCAGGGGGGTGCCGGAACCCGTGTGGTTGGGGGGGCTCTGGTGCGAAGCAGGGGGGGGGAAGGAAACGGGTCAGGAACCCACAGCATCCCTGCGTCAGTGGGGCCCCCCATGGTGGGCACGTCACCTGTGGGAAGCGTTTCTGCACCTCTGCAGGCAGAGCCCCACCACAGCCCTGCCTGCCTTGGTTTCAAGTCCCCTGGTGCTTTCAGTGAACTGAAACAGACTTTTTCCCCCACCCCCGGTGGCCTCCTCCCTGTGCCACCCGCTGGGACAAGGAGGGTCCCTCCAGTGGGTTTTCCTCTTGCTAAGAGGTGGCATCTCGTGGGTGTTCTGCTCTCGCTTTCCACCTATGGGGCTTTCCCCGTGTGGGTCAGCTCCAGGGGGAGATGTGACCCATCCCCCATGGAATCACAGGGTCACAGCCTGGATTGGGTTGAAGGGACCTTAAAGCTCACCCAGCTCCAACCCCTGCTACAGGCAGGGACCCCTTCCACTGGAGCAGTTTGCTCCAAGCCCCTGTGTCCAACCTGGCCTTGAACACTGCCAGGGATGGGGCAGCCACAGCTTCTCTGGGCACCCTGTGCCAGCGCCTCAGCACCCTCACAGGGAAGAGCTTCTGCCTAAGAGCTCATCTCAGTCTCCCCTCCTTGACCTCATCCCTCTGTGCTCCTGGGGCTGGGAATGCCGACACGCACAGGGGAAGTGTTTTGGCAGCTCGTCCTTTCCTGCCCCTCTGCTGTGCGGAGCCAATGGGAACCGGTCAGAATGGGGCTGAATTCAACCAGGGTGATGCTGGAAGCAGGTCTGCTGTGGGGGAGAGCAAAAGGGCTGCATCCCATTGCTGGGATGGAGAGTGGAGCAGGGCAGGCATGAAACTGGTGGCGGGATAAAGGGCACGGAGCTCACTGCGTTGCTTTCCTACCCAAAAACAGAAGCTGGACCCATTGATGGGCCCGTGCTGCTCAGCTCCCCGCTCCTCGCACCCATCCCTTGGGAAGGACGGTGGCTCTCACGTCTCTCTCAACAGTGATTTCATGCCGGGGGCTTCCCTGCTGCCTGCGTGAGCGGATCCGTTCACTGCAGGCTTCCAGCTCCTGCCCACCAGCAGGTGCCTGGGAGACGTTCAGCAGCAAACCTGCTGCTCAGAACCCCCCGTGGCTCACCATGGGGCTGGAAACCCGTTCCCACAGCAGTCTGTTGAGACAGGGAGACCTTCCACTGCCCCAGCCCGGAGCATCAGCAGGCAGGTTCTGCTGCAGGGCTTCCCCTGGAGCACAGAAGGGGATGCCCCGGCCTGTGTTGGGCAGCATCCTTGGGGCATTCGGGGCTGAAAGCAGGAGGCTGGAGCACCCAGAGCAGCTCCTCAGGAGGATGGACCCAGCCAGGACAAGCTTTAACCGAAACAGGGGCAGTTCCACGTCGTTGTCACTGCCTTGCTCCGTTAAAGTGAGTCTCCTCTAACTCAGTTACTGTGCACAGTTGCAGGCCTAGGAATCGCGAGGTTGGTGCCTGGTTTTGGGATCTCCATTGAGCTGGGATGGGGAATTTCGCCCTGATGGGACCTGTTCTTTGGCTGGCATCACCCCTGGGGGATTGCGGGGTGGAAATTCATGGCTGGAGGGGGAAATTCATAAGAGGAACAGTGATTTATCTGGTGTTCAACTTCCCCAGCACCTCATTTCTAGTAAGCAGCTGCATTTCCCACTTGCATCACCCGCCTCGTGGCGTAGCATCACCCACGTCCTGTCCCCATGCCGCAGCGTGGCCCATGGGCAGGAGGAGCCCAGAGCCGTGCTCGGACAGACACAGCAGCCTCAGGCTGGTTATATCCACAGGGAAAAGGAGGGAATAGCTGCAGGGCAGCAAACAGCCCTGTGGATAGAGCACAGACACATCGGAGACCAGGCAAACAGGCTGGGGAGGGAGGAGGAGCAGGGATGAAGGAGCCGGGTGGGTGGCAGGGTTTCGGGTACCCGATCCAGAGAGGTGAGGTCAGCTCACGGCTCCTTTTTGCCAGGCAGTGCCAGGTGGGACGGGCGGGATGGGCAGGACACCCATGGGAATGCTGCCCGACCAGCTCCCGCTCGCTCAGGTGTGCCCGGGAAGGGCTGGACGGGCCGAGCCCACAGTGAGATGTAATAGAAGGAAAACGCCAGGAGAGGGCTGGGGCTCATCCGCTCCAGGCAATGGGGAGGATGGAAAACGCTCCCGCGATGCGGCAGCACCTCTGCATCCCCTCCCCACCTCCTGGCCCTGGGGGCACCCCGATTCCAGGCTCCAGCTGGCTCCTTTGGGGGGATGCTCTATGCTCCCATCCCACCAGGAAAAGCTGCCCAGGGGGATGCTATGGCAGGAACAGCAGTTCGGATGGGCCCGCGGTCAGCGCATGCCCTGCAGCAAGCAGGCCGCTGCAGGGGGGGTTCCTCAGCAGCGTTTGCATCCCCTTAAGGCAGGCACAGGATTTCCTGGGTCTGTTGTTCTGCCTGCAAGGCTGGAGGCAGAAATAACCCCCCAAAACCAGCGCTGGAAAAGAAATCCGACCCTCTGGAGGCTTTGTTTCCAGAGGAAGCCTGCAGAAGGGCTGCTGGAGCTGACCTTCCTGTGCCTGCCCCAAACAGCTCACTGAGCAGTGTGGGCAGTGTGGTGAGGGTGGCGATGCCTCCGAAGCACACAGCAAACCCCAGCCCGCGGCTCATTGTACTTCAAGGAAACAGCTGGAGGTCAGGGGAAAGCAGCCCAGAATAAACCCGGGCTCCAGCGTTCCTGCTGCTGGTTTTGTCAGGAAATAGGGCACCAGGCTCCGGCTTTTGTCCTGGCTGTTCCCAGGGAGCGGGGATGAGGATGCACGGGCAAAAGCTGGGAAATGGGGATGATGCTGCCACCCCTTTGTGGATCTGTGGGGTCTCTCTGTTACCGGGAGCTGCCCCAGCAGTGCTTGATCGCATCCTCACAACCTGCTTTTGGGGGCAAGAAAACAGAAGCTGGGCAGCCAAAACGGTGTTAGTGCAGCTGGGGGGGGAACACAGCATCGCCCCAGTGCTCTGCTCCCACCCTTCCTGCCCCTCTGCTGTGCTCTGGGGAGACCCCCCCTGCAGCCCTGATCCAGCTCTGGGGCAGCAGCACAAGAGGGACGTGGAGCTGTTGGAGCGAGGCCAGAGGAGGCCATGGAGATGCTGCGAGGGCTGGAGCAGCTCTGCTCTGGAGCCAGGCTGAGAGAGCTGGGCTGGGGCAGCCTGGACAAGAGAAGGCTCCTGAAGGGGAGACCTTAGAGCAGCTCCAGTGCCTGAAGGGGCTGCAGGAAACCTGGAGAGGGGCTTGGGACAAGGGATGTAGGGACAGGCCAAGGGGAATGGCTTGAACCTGCCCGAGGGGAGACTGAGATGAGCTCTTAGGCAGAAGCTCTTCCCTGTGAGGGTGCTGAGGCGCTGGCACAGGGTGCCCAGAGAAGCTGTGGCTGCCCCATCCCTGGCAGTGCTCAAGGCCAGGTTGGACACAGGGGCTTGGAGCAAGCTGCTCTAGTGGAAGGTGTCCCTGCCCGTGGCAGGGGTTGGAACTGGAGGAGCTTTAAGGTCCCTTCCAACCCAAACCAGGCTGTGGCTCTATGATAACCCCTGGGCACCAGGGTGAGCTCCCCACCTTGTCCCACCGTGGTGGCTGCAGGGAGCTCACACTCGAGCTGCTTTAGCAGCTTTGCTGCTCCTCCTCCTCAAGCTGCCGGTGCCAGCAGTGGGCTGCTCTGCCAAACCTCATGCAAAGGAAGAGACGAGGCACGGGGGGCTTCTGCTGTCAGCTCCAACCCCACTGCACATCATGGACCAGCGCAGCCCCTACACCGGGGTTAGGGCATGGAAGAGGGACAAGAGAGACCCCGGCCCCGTTCCGAGCAGCATCCCTTGCTCCCGGTGAGACACACAGCACTCTTTCTCATTGCTTCCTGCTCTTTTCCATTCTTTATTTGAGCGGTCACGTTCTCACTTTGGTCACAGCTCTGAAAGGTTGTTGGTTTGTTTTTTGGTAGCTGTTTGTGGTTTGTTTGCTTTTTTTCCCCTCTTCTCTAATTTGGACCCACCTTCTAGAGTATTATAAAATTATACAAGTGCAGTAATCACCAGTTGATAATAAATAGGTATTTGTTAGTTCACAAAGTTAAAGTGCTTTGAGAAGGGATGTAAGGAAGCTCTATCCTAGATTCGGGGGGGGGGGGGGGGGTATCTTGGAAATGTAGTGCAGTAGGAAGCTCTGGGCCCGTTGTCCACAGTCTGCAGTCACGAGAGACACGGGGCATCTCTCCCCTTGCCATAAAGACCCCTCGGGCACTCCTGAGTGTCCCTGAGCAGGCACGAAGCAGGAGCTGTGCTGCTGGGAGAGGTTATTGGAAGCATTAGATAGGATGTGTCCCCCCCCCCTGCTGCACAGCCCGAGGCTGGGGAAGGTTTGGACAAGGTGTGGGATCGCCCCATTGCCCACAGGCGCAAGGGAGAACATCCCGGTTTTCACAGTTTAGTCTTGCTTGGAGACCTCAAAGCCCAAGGGAAGCAAAGCCCCTGGTCCCTTCATGGTGAGGGAGAGAAGCAGAGCTGCTCGGGGCGGTGGGGGAGCCGTGGCAGCACCCCGAGCCCATCAGCATCGCCCTGAGATCAGCCGCCTGCTGCCTCCATCCCTGAGGAAGCCCGGTCCCTCTCCCTTAGGAGAGGCGCAGGGAGCAGGCGCTGCCCGCTGCCCACACGGAAATGCCCTTAAGCTGCCTGCAGAGGATTTGTGCGTTTCAAACTCCTTCCCAGGGCCTCCTGGGTTTGGTTTGGGCTCTGCTTCCACCTTCCCTTCCTGTCCCCTTCGGTCTGTCCTTCCCCACACCCCAAATCTAGTCATCTTCCCAGGCTTTTCCATGCAAAACGCTCACTGCGGGCCTGCCGCTGCAGGCTTCCAGCGCGAGCTCCCAGGCTCCCTTCCACATCAAAGCCAGCTGCAAAACAGAAATCAAATGAAACCATACCCTCAACCCTTTCCAGAGCCCAAGTCTCCAGACCAGAAGGGGATTCACATGCGACACTGGGAGTATTCCAGCTGCCTCCAACCCTAACATTAGCCACAAAAAATAGGAGGCATCAGTCCCCACTTGGAGTGAAGCATAGATCAACCAGTTCCAAAGGCCAAGGGCTGGCTCCTCTTCTTCATCACATGCACGTTCCTAAAGAGAGGAGTCATCGTGCCCTGAGGATCAGTGCATGCACATTGGCCGGAGTCCCCTGAACAGTCCACAGCGGGGAAGCTGACACCATGCTGCTGGGCACAGTGAACGTCCCCCACCTGTTCCCTTCCCTCCCTGTCCCCAAACCCTGCTCCAGCTGGCCCTGCAGTCCCATCTTCCTCACCATGCCTCCTCCACCACAGCCAACGATGGAGAGGCTGCTGCCCAAGACCCCTTTGGGGACAGGCAGTCCAAGGAGTGACTAAAAGAAGTCGCCTCAGGAGCAGACAGCAAGTGCAGGAGCAGCAGCAGCAGCAGCCAGGACGGTGGGAACGCAGCCCCATGGTGGTCAGTGGAAGAGCTCCACCAACACCATCATCAGGAGCAGCTGCAGCCAAGAGGCGAAGGTCATGGTGGCCTGGCCCTTCTGGGACATGAACCTGAGCTGGTTGACCAGGCGCTCCTTCACCAGAGCCTGCTTGAAGCCGTCCTCCTCCGAGATGCAGACGTAGTGGCCGTAGTGGATGTGGCTCACGTTCTGGATGAAGTGGAAGCAGTCCTGCTGGGGGTGGGTGGTGTTGCAGGTCTTGATGAGGCTGTTGTTGTGGTACCAGTTGTAGGTGGCATAGTGGGACTCGATGGGGCAGTTGAGGTAGTAGCGGGAGAAAGGGACCACTGTGATGTTCTGATAGTCATCTGCTGGAAGAGATTGAGAACAAGGGGATGAGACGTTGGAACCACGGATTCTCCCATAGGCCTGGAGGGAAGAACAGTTGGGTCAATGGGGACAAGTCATACAGCCACTGAATGACAACAGCAGGGCCTGACCCACGCCTCAAGTCTCTTCTCCTAGGACAGCAGCAAGCACCAGCCCCATCGCCCAGCTCAGAAACCCATTATGGAGCAGTTAACCCCAAGCAGGGGCTTGGAGGTGTCCTGGCTTCAGCATGGTCATTCCCAGCTCCCCTGCAATGAGTTGTTGAGCCCTTGCACAACAAACAAAGGCTCCAGAATCAGCCCCCCTGCCCCAAAACACCCCCTGGATTCACAGCCTACAGCTCAAAACCTTCACATACCTTCCTTAATGTCCCCCTTCTGGCACTTCCCTTGCCACGGGTCCAGGTTCAGGTTCTGATGCACCTCCCTAGGAGATGGGAATAAGCATTAACATCAGGGAAGCAGCATTTCAGGGCTAAGAAAGGAATCGCTCATACAAGATGTAGTGGATTAGGTAAGGAAGAAGTGTTTAAACGCCTGATGTTAGCTGGGTAGGGACAAGCACACGACTCAGGAGGGTGACGAATGACAAATGCGAGACCCAGCAAGTCACCACAATGAAGAGCATCACAACCAGCAGACCTGTGCATGTTTCTAACAGCAAAAGAGGGGCTGGGTGCTCAAACCCCACTGACCTCTCCCCCTCCAGGGCAGGGTGCTGCGGGAGGGCTGGCTTTCGGGACAGCACAGACATGTGTGTGCGATTACCGCACGGACACCATGGGCTCATCTCTCCCTGCGGTAGGAAGATGACCTCAAAACCATGTGCCAGGCAGGGGAACACCGAGTGTGGGTATTTCTCACACGGAAGCAAGCAGGAGGCAGCTGATGGCATCACGTACCGGTTCAGGTACACGGACCGGCAGGAGCCATTGAGCCAGCCGCAGTACGGGTCCCTGGCCAGCAGGCAGCTGTCACAGTTGTTGCGATACGCCCCACACATGGCCATGGGCACCTCCAGCACTCTGTCTGTTGAGCCCACGTACAGCATCGCCTGCGGGAGGAAAGCAGAGGGGTTCATCCCGGGGCCACCTGAGTGTCCGGCACTTCTCCTGCAGCTTGGCTGTGAGAGGGGTGCTGAGGCGCTGGCACAGGGTGCCCGGAGAAGCTGTGGCTGCTCCATCCCTGGCAGTGCTCAAGGCCAGGTTGGACACAGGGGCTTGGAGCAAGCTGCTCTAGTGGAAGGGGTCCCTGCCCGTGGCAGGGGTTGGAACTGGAGGAGCTTTAAGGTCCCTTCCAATCCAAATCAGGCTGGGATTCTATGATTTCATCATCAGTGGGGCCGGTAGGTCTCCAGGCAATGCAGTCCCTATCCTGGGAGGGGCAGCAGCATCCTTCCCCCGCCAGCCCTGTGGATAACTAAGTTTGCTCCATGAGGTGATAGCAGTGTTGTCACCTCTGGGATGGAGCACCAGCGCTGCCTCACAGCTCATCCACCAGCAGGGCTGGACAATGAGAGGGAAACAGCAGGATTTGGCCCGGGAGCAAACACCCTCATTCTTCCCATGCCTCTGGAGGAGAGGAGGTGTCCAGAAAGCTCTGCTGCCCACTGACCACCCAGAACTGGGGCCATCAGCCCAGCCTTAGCAAAGCAGGACCTCCCACAACCCACTCCGAGGCTCCTTCACATCCATGGGCTGTCCTTAAACCTCTGTCTCTGCCTCTCCTGCTGCCTGCTTTTAAAGCTACAGCCTGACCTTCCTACAGAGAGACCCACCCTCTTGTGGTCCAGGATCATGGACTGGATTGGGTCCTTCTTGGGGAAGACCTGGAGCTCCATGATGTTCTGCACCCCGTCTGGCAGCTCCACGACCTTGTGGATGGATCCTTTGTCTGGAAAGAAAGAGGGGAGAGCCCTGATGGAGCATGCTGAGAGCAGAGAGGCAAGGCAGAGGGGCTGTGGGGAAGGCAGGCAGAGAACCAGCACCGCCTCCAGCCCTCGCTGCGGCAAACAATTCCCATTCCACAGAGCAGGGCTTGACTGGATTCCTCTACCCAACCACCCAGAGAAGACAGAGAAGGAGCCTGCTTGCTCTGCCCGTTTCCCACAGCACAGCCTTGTCACCGCTGTCATCCTCCCAGCCGCGAGGAGCCCATTTCTCCTCACCCTTTGGACCTGGCTCTGCTTGCTTTGACCAGCCTCAGCACGAAAACCCAGCAGCTCTCTGCTTTGATCCCTGGCCTGTTCCTGCCCAAGCATCATCTCATCGCTTGCCCGAGGCTGAAACTTGGGAGCTCTGCCTTTCTGTTCTTCTGGTTAAACTGACTCCGGTCCCAGCGGGCTGGTGGGCCAGGAAAACAAGTCAGTTTGGTGGAGGGGTGGGAAGGCAGATCCCGAGGGAACACGGCTCAGGAATCTCACTGTTTACCCCCTTTTAGCCTGTCTTCCCCTGCCCAAGGAGCCACCCCCTTCTCCACCACCAGCCAGGGGGAGGTGGAAAATGTGACCCTGGGTCAGGCAGGGATTAGGGCCCCCCAGGTGCCTCCGTGCCTGCAGCAAGGGTGGGCAGCCAAGCCCTGCACCTTGGAGCAGGCTTCCTGACTGCTCTGCAAGGCATGAGCTGCATTGAAACTACAGCTTTCAGCAGGATCAAGCCAAGCGGAGCATGTGTGGGCCCTAATCCAAGCCAGGCCACCTACTGCGAGCTGTCTGCATTTGTTTTAATCACAGATTAGGAAACAAAAGCCCCAGAAAACCCCTCCACAAGTGGCAGGGAACAAAGCCCAGCACAGGGCAGGAAAAGGGGTGACAGAGCTGCAGGGAGCAAGCCCATGCAGGCGGGGAGGCACGAGAGGGAACTCTGTGCCTTCCATGCAGCAGGTAGCTGCACTGCATGCGAACCCAGGCAGCTCACCAACCTTTTACTCTCCATCCCACTCTCCTGCAGCTGAATTGGCTTGTCCCAGCTCTGCAGCATCTCCGGCTGCCCCAGGGCCACCAGCAGCTGGGATGCACTGGCTGTGTCTCCAACCAGAGGTGCTGGCCTCACCTGAAGCCTGCGCTGCTGCACTAGAGCAAGCAGGAGCAAGAGGTGATCCTTTTGCAAAGGATTTCTGCTTGACACGTGGGGAGGGCTGTGCTACCCCTCCCTTGCCCTAAAAACACTTGGCCTGAGATCTACCACAGCCTTGAAGCAGCCCAAGTGGGTAAATCCCACATGCTGGGATGCTGCTTTCAGCCTTTGCCTATGCAGCCCAATCTGTGCGTCACCGAGCTGTGCTGGGACTTGGCAGCTCTCTCCTGCTTGACAAACATGTGCCAAGCTGGGAACACAGCCCCTCGCTTCGCCCTGCACTGGGGGTCTTGTCTGATTCCCTCGGATTCTTTGCCCTCGAGGGGAAAGCAAGCTCCAGGGAACTCCATAGGGAAAGCTTCCCAGTACCTGTTGCCAGATAAAGCACGTTGTAGCGGCGCCCGTCGCCCGCCGAGACCTCGTGCACCCCGATCTTCTGGTAGCGGTGCTTGTTGTGGAACAGGGGGCTCTTGGTGGGGGAGAGGGGCTCCACGCGGTCCTGCACCTCCGGGTGGCTGTCAGCGATCTTGAAGGTCTCACTGGGGGTGTGCTGGCCAGAGGAAACGCACTGCGACAGGAGGGGACAAGAGGCACCGTCAGGGGCAGGGCTGGTGGAGTCCTACCTGCGGTCCCCCTGCGGAACGTGCCCCTCTGCTCTGCTGAGACCCCACTGTGTGCAGTTCTGGTGCCTTCAACATAACAAGGACATGGAGGTGCTGGAGCAAGTCCAGAGGAAGCCATGAGGATGCTCAGGGGCTGGAGCACCTCCTGTATGGAGACAGGCTGAGGACACTGGGGCTGTTCAGCCTGGAGAAGAGAAGCTGTGTGGAGACCTCAGAGCAGCTTCCAGTGTCTGAAAGGGGCTACGAGGACGCTGGAGAGGGGCTCTTCATTAGGGACTGCAGTGATAGGACAAGGGGTGATGGGTTCAAACTGAAACAGGGGACATTCAGGTTGGAGATAAGGAAGAAGTTGTTCCCTGTGAGGGTGCTGAGGCACTGGCACAGGTGCCCAGAGAAATGGTAAATGCTCCATCCCTGGCAGTGCTCAAGGCCAGGTTGGACACAAGGGATTGGAGCAAGCTGGATGATTTTAAGGTCCTTTCCAACCCAAACCTTTCTGTGATTCTATCCTCCAGCTTCACCCACCAGAGCTCACAGACCCATTTGCTGAGGCAGGTCTGAACCCATCTCCCTGTGCTCTCTATGAAGGTGTTGGACCTTACCCAGCCTCCTTTTGTCTCTGGGAACAAAGCTGAGGTCTTCCCCACAGTGCCTGCAACCTTTCTCACTGCCCCAGCCCTCCCCGGCCTGCTCAGTGCTGGGACTGTGCCCCCACCTGCAGTGCCAGAGCAGGGACCAGCCCTTGGGAGGCCTCCCCACTTCACCTGGGCAACTCCTATCCCTCACTCACCTGCCCAGGCTTGACCTCTGGGTTGGGACCATTGTAGCCTTTGAGTTTGGAGGTCCGAAACACGTTGTCAATGTCCCCAAAGGAATAGACACAAACAGCAGAGCTTCCCCTGCAAGACAACGAGACAAAGAGAGAGGGTCAGGAGACACTGGCCATCCCAATGCAGCTGGGGCATGGCTGTGTGCATCGCGCTGCCGCTGACTACGTCCTCTCTGGTTGTTTTGCACCCACATGCTTGCCAGGGAGACTAAAGGGCTGTGGGACAGGACATCTCTCTGCTTTACAGAGACCCTCACCAGGTGTTTGTGAAGAGCCCATAGACCTTGGAGTGCCTCCAGTTACTCGCAGGGACAAAGAAGACATCCTGCAACCAGTTGAAGTTGCCCTTGGTGACTGGGTCGACACAAATCAAGCTGGCCTTCAGGAAGGTGGTCCACTTGGAAGCAGAGAGAGAACCGGTTCCCCCTTTATCTTCCTGGAGGGAGAGGAAAAGCAGGGAGTCAGGGTTTAGCAGAGAAGAACACAAAGAGCCCCCCCGTCCAGCATCTTGGATGAGTAACTGAGGGATGCTCCAGAGGTACACTTGATGCGAGCCAGAGGATGGGAAGGCCAAAAGGGTACAGCCATACCCCACATGAACTCTGTGGCACGGGACAGAACTGAGCCAAAGGGGCCAAATCACATGCCCATAACACCAAGTGAGCTGGCATGTCCATTTGCCACCCCTGCAGCATCCCTGCCTCCCCACCACACTCTGTTCCTGTGGTACCTTACACAGCTGGGCCACTCGAGAGATGTTTCTAGGGGCCTCAGGACTCTTATCCGGGTTGTCTTCACGGAAGAAGTAGTAAATCTTGTCCTGGTGAGGCTCTTCGTGCCTTAATGTGGTGGCTTTGACAAACTGAGGGTCTGTAAAGGGAAGGGAGCCATCAGAAAACCTTGGCCTAAACACCTTTCATCTGTTCTCTTTTCTTGTTTCAGCCCATTCTCCCTTCTTGCACAGCAGAACTCTCATCATGGAGCTCCCTTGGTGGGACCAGGCTGCACTCTGGTTTGTGTTCCACTGTGGAAAACCCAGTGATGCTCTTCCTATTAATACACCACTGCCACAAAGGGCATCCCCAGCAGCAGCAGGTCCCTCTGAGCATCATTAGCTGGCATCCCCATGGCAGGGAGTTCTGTGTAAGCATGGGACCAGCCTCATGGCTCCAGCTCTATCAGTTTGTTTGCTGGTGCTCTGCTTGCCTCCTCCTGCAAGTTCTGTTTTGCCCTGGTTTGATTCTTCCCTTTGGCCGGGGGTTCAGGAATCTCCCATTTCCCAGTGTCCCACTGAGCTCATGGAAATGGAGGAGGGTCCTTTTTTCCCTATTCCCCACCCAACATGTTCCTGCTCCAAGGTTTCTCCCTGGCTGGGGGTTTGGAAAGAGTCACTGCCCGGGGTGGAAGCTGTTCTTCCTCTTTCTATTACAGCAGCTGATGGGCAGCTTTACACAACCACGTTTCCTTCCAGCATCTGCCAGGGGACTGGCCACACGTTTCTCTCCATTTCCCCATCTCCTCACCCCGAGCAAGAGGCACTCACTTGTCAGTTATTTGGCCCTAGAAGCAAAGAGGTGACCTGGCAGCAAGAGAGGACGTTCCCCTCCACGCTGTGCTGTGTACTTCGGGCCCCCAGATGTAGGCTGACAGAGCCCAACCCATCTGCATGGAGGGGCAAGGGGCAGGTCCCACGCCTCCAGCGTGGCCCCTGGACTCACTCTGCATCACCGTGTCGCTTGTGTAGAGCTCTCCTCCCCCTCTCACCCGACGGAACCGGGGGATCTTGCCGTTCTGCTGGCTCTTCTTGATGGTGGAGTAGATGTCGTGACCTGTGGGGCAGGAAGGCTCACTGCAGCGGGCTGTTTCCAGAGGGGACAGAGGGAAAAGAACTGGGAACTCTCTGGGCACATGGACCCACAGAGCTGGTGGCAACAGGTGGAGAACCCCAGTCCCCACTAGCTAGCACTGAGTCCTGGCAGGACTCCCACAGCCCTTTTCCTTAAAGAGCAGAGGGACAGATGTTTGTTCCACCTTGGGAATGATCCGCACCCATCCCTCTGCCAGGCCCAGAGCAGTGGAGCTACTGCAGGACCCTCCTTCCCTGCCATCTCCACTGCACTCTACCCTCCTGCAGAGACTCAACCCCCATGGCCTGGAGAGGAATGAACAACCTTGTGCCATGCAGGGGTTGGAACTGGAAGATCTTAAGGCCCTTTCCAACCCAAACCGTTCTATGATTCTATGCTGTCCTAGAAGGATGTGCATTTCGATGTGACAAAGCAAGAAGGGCTAAGGCTCATCTCCACCTAAAGCAGAGGGATGAAGCCCTTGGAGCAGTCCCAAGGTGCCCCTGTTTGGTACAGAGCGCCCAGCCTCCCTTGCACAGCACTGATAACACAAGAGCAGACACACTTACCATCAACAACGACGAGGGTATTCGAGTCGGGGGTGAAAGGAGCAATGCCTCTCCCATCCCATGGGGTGCTCTCCTTCCTCTGTGTCTGGGTAAGGACAGAAATGGTCCCTGAGTGCCATCAGTTCAGGGAAGGCAGGGGAGCCAGGGGCCCACATCCACCCCTGGGGCAGGAGGGGAGCAGCTCTCCTTGGCTGGCACAGCCCAAAGGAGGGGAGAACCCATCGTCAAATAGGCCATGCAGAGCCCCTGCTGCAGGCAGGAGGTGAGGACAAGGGGGCTGTGACAAGGTGAGCATGGAGGTGGCACGGGCAGATCTCTGCTGCAATGAGCTCCTCGAGGGAGAGGGTGTTTGGGCATTGCAGCTGTTGGAAGGGGGATCAGGGCATCATCTTACAGATGGAGATAGCACAGAACATAAGAGCAAGGGCTTTGCTCTGCTGCCATCAGAGGTGGTCACAGCATACCAGGTTCCAGCAGGTGGGAGAGCAGGCACCGGTGCCACACACTAACATCCCATCTCCATACTTCTCCACTAAGGTAAGGTAATTCTTATTGTCCTCCTGCAAGAGAAAGAGGAGAGGCATGAGTAGCACTGCTACTGCACTCCTAGTGCTTTCATGGGTCTTAAAACCAGAGGAGGAGACCAGTATCACCTCATCTGATCTGCTCCACAGGCACCGGAGGCCTTCACCCAAAGAGAGTGCACGAGGAGCATATACAGCTCATTCCCAAGCAGTCCTTCAACCCAAGTCCTCCAGCCCTCACCCATCTGCTGTTCCACCACAGGCAGGACCTACCGAGCTCCCAGGCATCATGCACTGTCCTCCATTTTTCACTGGGAAGTCTTCCTGGGATAAGAGAGAAAGAGATCTGCTTGAATTCCTTCCCTTTAAAAGCCAGCTGCAGTGGGATCAGCCCCAGGCACCACACACTGGTCACCCTCTTCACAAGAGCCAAGGCAAGCATGGCAGTGGGGTCTTCAGGCACTGCAACGCAGTCCTTCTCCACACCTCGGTACCTGAAACCCCTTGGGGATGCTGGGCTGGATCTCTCAGGCCCTCGAGGTGATGGGGAGAAGCAGCAGCCTGACTGGCAGCCAGGCTGGGCTGCTTGCCAAAGGATTTGGGGAGAGGATCTGTCACTGCAGGGAATGGGTGCTCAGTAGGGGGTGGCGGCATCCAAGGGATGGGACGCGTGAACCACGCTGTTCCTGGAAACAAGGGAAGTATCTGGGCCCAAAGTTCAGCAACCGGCTTGTCTGAGAAGGGCAAGAAGGGGTCATGAGAAACCAACTGGGGCAGTTCCCTGCTGTAGTAACTTGCCAGCTGATCCAGAACTTCCTGCTTTCGAGGAAATCCAGCCTGACTTCCCAGAATGGGAAGGGTTGGGAATATAGCTTCCCGGCAGCGATATGAGCCTGAGCATCCCTGCTCACGCTAAAGAAAGGGTCCCTTATGGGAAGAATCTTCCCTCTTGGGCACCGAAGACCTCAGGAGGATCACGGCCTGGGAAGAGCCCACCCATGGCTAGTGGAGGAGACTTCCTCTTTCTGCAGCCATTCATCCTACCCATGCTGGGGCTTCCCGGATGGATGGGGCAGGGATCAGACCCTCCCAGGCCTGACCTCACTGCTGGCAAACACCCTGAGCAAGGTATCTAGTGTTTGGGCTGTGAGATGGATGCTGGACACTTTGTTATAGAGCGCGGGGGCCAAACTTGCAAGCAGAGCATCCTTACCACGTAGCTCTCATAGGTTGCAAAGTCATAGTAGTAAAGCTTTCCTTCTCCCCCAATGTAGATGGCCGAGGTGTTTTCTTTATGATAGAAGACTGGGTACTTCTCACTCCTGGGGAACACATACTCCTTTGCACCTACAACAACACAGAGGACACACTGGTCAGGGCAATGGCAGCACCCACAGGCAGCTCAGGCTGATCCACTCCCTCCCCACGTCCTTGGTGGGAGTGATGAGGAAAACAAGGACTCAGGGCTGGGGCCCCGCAGGGATGCCTGCCCTGGCCCCAGGCAGCCAGGGAAAGGCAGCTCCCAGGCTCCAAGCTCAACTATTGTCCCCTTGGCCCCAGGGGACAGGAGAGCTGGAGCAGGACACAATGGAGCAGCCCTGCCTCATCCCTGAAGAGCTGGTGATGGAGGAGGAAGAGAAAGGGAAACTTTGCTGTTGGAGCTCTATAGAGAGCAGAAGCTCAAAGTGACTTAGAAGCGGCTCCTTCCCACCTGCTCTAATGGCCCAGTGCCTCCTGCCTCTCAGTATGGAGACAAAGGGCTCCCTCCCCTCTCTGCACATCCTCTGGCAACCCCTCCAAGTAACCATCTCCTCAACACGGCTCCTGCGCCCTCTTGCATTTGCCATGCCTTGCAGATGGGGATCAACCTCCCCGTGCCCATCATCTCCTACCAGCCCCGGAGCATGGCACCTCTCCTCGCCAGCCTCCAGCTGCACTGTCAGCATCCTCCCTCCATGGGCCAGGAAGGATGGACAGGGTTTGGAACCACGAGTGACAGGGGGAGGGTGCACAAGAAGCTGCAACTCCATCTCCACCCCCAGATGTGAACAAGAAGTGAGGTGCAAGACCCAGGACCCACGTCACAGCCGGTTGCTGCAGATGGGAAGCTCTGCAGGCCCAGCTGGGAGGAAGAACTGCTTGTCCTTCCCCTCCTTCCTTCCGCTTTCACCTTCCAGCTTTTCCAGCTCCTCTTCCCTACAAACATCCTCCTTTTCCCTCTGCATTGCCAGCTCAGGTGTGGGAGGCCGGCCCCGTGACGCAGTTGTGAGCCTCCTCCCCGAGGCTTTGGCTGTTTGTCCATGGGATCCACTGACCCCACAGCGCTCTCCGGGATGCTGCAGCCACCCCTGGAAGCTTTGAGTCCCCATTCCAGGGCCCAAAGGCTGCCCTGTCCACTGCTATAGTTTGCAGCAACAACACGAGAGGGATTTCTCCTCCAAGGGGCAGAAGCCTGCGCTCGGGATGACCCCTGCTTGCTGGGACAGGGCACTCTGCTTTCACTTCTCCCTCTCCCATAGAAGAAGGGGCCTCTCTGCTGGCAATGCCGCTGCTCCCAGCGACAGACAAAAGGCTGTGTGTGCCTCGGGAGCTGGCTGCCTGCACAGACAGGCAATTAATCAGTGGCACGTGTCCCTCTGCTCATGGCAAAGGACAGTCTTTGCCGAGCCCAGCAGCCCCCCTCTGCTCGGAGGATGCTGCGCAGGGTCCTGCCAAGGCCATGGAGCCAAAAGTGAGAAGGACTTGTTAGAGGTCACTGGGGTGCTGAATGCCTGCTCCAGCTGTGCCTTTCCCCCCCTCCCCACTTCACTAAGCTGGTGGGCCTCCAATCCCTGTGGGCTTAAACTCCAGCAAGGCTTGGCCGTGGGGGCATGCAGCCAGCCCCCACCTTGGGATGGGAAACCCTGCCAGCCCCACGGGCTGCTCTTTCACAAGTCACCTTGGCCGCAAAGAGAGGGGTGAAGATGTCCCAGGGTACAGAAACCATCTCTGCCCTCCGGCTCCTCGCTAACACAACACCTCCGGCTGCCCTTCCCCTGCCCACCAGGACGGGGGATACAGCAGCTGGGAGCCAGCAGCTAGGGATGAGAGTCCCTGCCTGCTCCTGCTCACCTCCCCAGCCCTGCCCCAGCCTCTCCTCTGTCCAAGGACTCCTGAGCATACGCTTTGCGTGCTGGAGAAGCTGGCACCCACTCTTTGCCAAGTGACTATGCAATTCCTTTGCCTCCGAGCGGGAAGCCAGCCGGGCATGCAGGTAGCCCAGCAACTCAGCAGCCACAGACTCAGCCTATGCTTGCCAGGGAGGATTCACCTCCTTGTCCAGCCCTCAACCCCCCCCTCCTGACCCGACCAACAGGCACACACACAGGAGCCCCTAAAGCCCTTCAACCATCCGGCTACCACCAATACAACCCAGCATCGCAAACAGGTCTGTCCAACCTCAGCAGACTTTGCTCCTGTTGCCAGACCTCAACCCCGGCCCCTACATTTCCTGCTAATCCAGGATAATTTGCACCTGGAGCTGCTCCTCCCGCACCTCACCCCTTTGTAAACCTCAGCCCCACATGCTCCTTTTACCTTTGGTCTCAATTTGGAGGCTTTTCCACCGCGCTGCCTCCGTGTGAACCAGGGCTCACACCAACCTGCAAGAGCACATTCATCTCCAAAGAGCCAGCAACAAACAAGCCTAAACCAATCATTTGGATGGCGTCAATGTATTATTTACCCTGCAGCTCCCCAGGGACTGAATTACTGTGAGTAAACAGCCAGGACCCAGAAGCGTGCTTGCGGCTCCAGCACTGATTTAACTTGATCTACAAGGGAGACTGTTAAAGGTGTTTCCATGAGCTGGTGCTGGTGTTCCTTTGCCTGCTGCTGACCTGCAAAGCTGGCATTCAGCCCCTGCTCTGCCTTAAACAGCCTGGCTTAGGCAAAGGGCTTGGTCACCTTTGTCTCTGCTTTCCATCTGGCAGGATGTGGGCAGCAATCCTGCTGCAAACCTGGAACGGAGGACCTGTGGTATAAATAACTTCAAGGGCCAGGGACCACAGAATCCAGACTGGTTTGTGTTGGAAGGGGCTTTAAAGCTCTTCCAGATGCAACCCCTGCCACGGGCAGGGACACCTTCCACTAGAGCAGCTTGCTCCAAGCCCCTGTGTCCAACCTGGCCTTGAACACTGCCAGGGATGGGGCAGCCACAGCTTCTCTGGGCACCCTGTGCCAGCGCCTCAGCACCCTCACAGGGAAGAGCTTCTGCCTAAGAGCTCACCTCAGTCTCCCCTCTGGCAGGTTCAAGCCATTCCCCTTGGCCTGTCCCTACAGGCCCTTGTCCAAAGCCCCTCTCCAGATGATGAGGCAGAGAGCATCCAAACACCCACACTGTGTCCCAGAGAAGGGAACGTGCCTCTCTTAGCAAGTCCCAGGATGCTTTTGGCACTGCAAAGAAAAGCTCACCCCCTTGGGAGGGGGAAGGCATGGCCCTGCCACCACCCTGCCTCCAAAATCAACCCTGCAGAGGACACAGGGCTCATTCCAGCGCCTGCCTAACCCCGCTGGTCCCTCTGCCTGGCATTTACTGCAAACCCCACCGGCAGCGCGCACATCAATGGCCCGATTGTCAATTGAAATGCTAACCCCGGCGAGGCCTGAATGGGAGAAAGAGCAGCTTTGTGCTCGCAGCGAGATGGAGGGTACCACAGCAGCCTGAAGAATGATCTTAAATGAGAGCGAAGGAGGGAGCCCGGTGCATCTCGGAAGGATGCCTGCAGGGTGAGGTCACGGGGAAGGAGGGCAATGAAGAGGGAGATGCTCTGGATGAGATGAGGGCAGGGAGGCCTGTCCTTAACACACAGAGCAATGCGGATAACAGACAGAGCAACCCTTCCCAGCTGGTAGGATGAAACATGCCTGCCTCCCTCGACCTGGCTTGGGCAAACCCAGCTTTAATGCCACACCAAAGTCTCTTTAGCTCCTTCAGAAAGGCACCAAGAGCCTCCCCAGCACCATGATAATGCTGGGTTTCCACAGCTCTGTGCAGGGGAAGCGGGCCCTCACCTCCAGAACAACCAGAGAAGCAGCCTGGCTGCAGGCAAACCCGGCTCCCATCCCTGCTGGAGGGCTAACTCAGCTGCAGAGCTCCTGCTTCACTTTGCATTCCACCGTTCCCTGGTCTAGCAGCAGCTCCAGCATCCCAGACACACTTAGGCCCTGGTGAACTGCTGTTCACTGGTGCTGGGGGAGGAGCACATCTCCTTAAGGTGGAGGTGATGGGTCCATTCTGCACTGGTGCCAGCACTGTCAAATGAGAAACTGGGAAAATGAGAAGCTTGGGGAAGAGAACAGGGGAAGGAGAACAAGGGAAGAACCTGCTGCAGGCAAGAGGCAGATCCTTTACTTGCTGCCCATCAACCCCTGACGTGGGACCCCATTGGTATACGAAGAGGAGAAACCCGAGTGTGGGGTCTACATTCTCCTTGGCATCACCCACACCACTGCCTGTGCTCTCCCAGCTCCTGCTGCCATTCCATGGGGACACGGGGCCGGGCCAGCCGCCAAACCGGGATGTAAAGTGGCGCAGCGCGGGAGCTCGCCACCGCAGCCCCATCTCCGGTGCTGCCGCGCTTCCCGACGGCGGGCAAGGCACCCGGCAGCACTCAGTCATCACCATCCTGCATCCCACCCTCCCCGTGCGACGCTGCTGACACTGCCACCTGCTCTGCTGGCGGTGGGGCTGACGGCACGCTCCTGCCTGAACCACGGCACCCGTCGCATCCTTTCCTGGTCCCCTCCTTCTCCAAACAATTCCTCATCTTCCGATTTGTTTCTTCCTTCCTTTTGGCACAGACAGAGCAGATTATGACCCCGCTAGCAGCATGGCTCTGCTGCAATCTGACTGCGACTGGCTCTGACGGCAGAAGGAAAAGCCGCCTGCTCAATGCTGACTCAAGGGCTGGCAATGCCGGGAGTCCCCTGGGTCTCATCCTCTGCACCTGTACCAGGAGCGCTCAGCTGCCACCAACGTGGCCCGGCCGTGAGTCAGGGCTGACTCTGTGCTCACACCTGCTTTTGGGAACACAGGAGCCGTTTTGCCTCGATGACACCCATCCCTCTTCCGCTCCCGCTTCCCCGCGCACGCAGGATGCATGACAAACAGCTCAGCACGCAGAAACCAACCGCTATCCTTGGGAATGTGATCCACATCCACTGCCCTAGTCACCCACTGGGGGGGGGGGTCAGGGCTCCTGCTCCCAGCTCTGACAACACCCCGCAGGGCAGTCCCAGTTTCACTATTGAAAACTGGGAGGACAATCCCTGGATTTCCGACTTGCATGACCAGTACCAGCTCCAGG